CCATGTGTTTGTGATGGGAGATCAGTGTAATTTAGTCTGGCCTCTTTTGGGAAGGCAAAAAAAAATCAATTTATTAGTTTATTTGAGATAAAATCACCTTTTTACTTTTTTTGTGCGGTTTTTCAAAAAGGGATTGGCTTTCCTCCAGTTCGTGATCAGACTGGAGGGTGTTGTTGAGCCCGTTGGGGCTCACCACGTGTCCCATTTTGATAATTTGAATAATTTAATGTGTAGAACTCGCCAAGTACTATATGCCTGTAAAAAAATCACATTGATCGGATATTGATAACTATTTTATCGGATCAAATTTCTGTCAACTGTTTATTTTTTCACCGTCTATTTTTTTTTATACAAAACTGATTTGATCACGTATCTATTGATATCCAATCAATGTGATTTTTCATAGGTATATAGTACTCAACGAGTTCTACATATGCAACTGTTCAAATTATCAAAACGGGACTTATAGTGAGCCCCCACGGGCCCAACAGTGTATTAGACTGGAGGAAAGCCAAACCCTTTCAAAAAAACCCAATAAGTCAAAAAAAAATCCACTTCCCAAAATAGGCCTCTATTCTTATTTTTTTGAGTCATGTACCTATTCAATTGAGTGTACACAACACTACTATAAAATTTTCAAAAGACCAGATAATCTAGAGAAGTGGGCTCCACGAGTGATACTGCGTACCTATGCTTGCATTATGTCCAAGAATCCAACCCAAGTGATGCGATAAGAATTGCAAGATGTTTGGTGGAAAACTCGCCTTACCAATGAGTCGATACATGACAGTTGGCACACTAACAATCACATTAATTTTTGACAAGTTACATTTTAACTTAATTTAAAACTAAAAATTTGAACCCAAAAAAATCCATACAAAATCTTACCCCAAGCCACACATGAGCGGCACAATAATTTGGACAAGTTGCATTTCGTTTTATTAAAGCAACTCATCCATCCACATCTTCGAAATTTTCATGACTCGCTCCCTCTTGATCTTTTCTTTCTTCATTCTCATTTCTTGTATTTGTATTTTTTAATTAGGTAAATCATTCTCAAGATTATTATAATTTTTCTTTTGTGTCAATTTGGTATATATATATAAAGGCTTAAAAACAATCAATTTCTAAATTGTTAAAAAATGATCCTAACTAGTTATTAGAAGATCCCAGCCTTTTCGGCAATGGAAGTCGAAAGGGCTGGCCAACCCATATGCTAGAAACAGTAGACAACACTGAAATTTTAAAATATCACTGCTAAATTCACTCATAATAACGTGGCAACTAAAACATTGAGTTCATATGCATCATTTTTTTTTTTTCATTTCTGTTCTTTTTCATAGTAAAAGTTTATGAATACAGAAATCGATCACCCTATCACATGAGGTGTCCCACACCCATGTAACTGGGTTGTGTGCTGTGTTCTGTTATGAAATGTGGTGGAAGCATACCAATTGTAGTAAAAATCAGAGTTGTTAATATGGATGTATGCGAGATTGCTGCATCTTGTTCAAATAGGAGAGATTACTAGAACTCAAATTCTACAATATCTAGAGGGAACATTCTTTTCTGTGGCTTGGGATTGCTGCAGGGAAAACATATTTTTTTAAAATATATAAAAAAATAACAATTGAGGTTTGATAATATATAGCAATCCTGTAACAACAAGGTCCCGAAGAAAATATGCTACTCAACATTTCTACATGGACATTTTTCTTTTATGGGAAGCTCAAGTATCGAGTTTATTCATTTATTGGATAAAACTCAATTCTCGATTCCATAGCTGTAAAAGTGAAATTGCATGAAGAGGTGTAACTGAAGTCTTCATTCGAGAAAGAAACTCTTGAGATACGCATTGCATTGTTGGGCGAGATCTCGGCTCAGAACGCACACATGCAAATGCCATCATAGCAACTAGAACAATGTTCCCTACAACCACTGGATTGGTTGGAGGCGGAAGGCGCGGGTCTAAGACATCAGTTAGCATTATGTTTGGAGCAGATCGTGATGCCAATGATGAGAGGAGTTCTCCTGGATGCCTTCCCATGATTGTTTCTAGTGCTACCACCCCAAAGCTATAAGCATCACACTTTTCAGTCACAACCATAGTGTAGGCAAGTTCTGCACAAACAAAAAATAAATAAATAAATAAATAATCATAGACTTCACTTTCTCTTTTATGAAATTAATGAAGTGTGATTCTTTGAAATGTTGAATCTATCATCAATAATTGAGTTTGAAAAAAAAAATTGATAATCACTAAAATATTTAAACATTTTAGATTACTTTTCCCCTCTTTCTTTGAAAGCATAAATACGTATGAAAGAAAAAAGTATTACTTTGCTACCTGGGGCAATATATCCATAAGTGCCTGCAATTACTGTTTGATTCGATGCATCTGGATATAGCAGTCTAGCAGTGCCAAAGTCAGAGACAAAAGTCTCCAATTCAGAGTTCAATAGAATGTTGTTCCTAGATATGTCTCGGTGAACAATAGGAGGTGTGCAATCATGATGCAAGTAGGATAGAGCATGAGCTATTGTTTTAATGATGTTTACCCTTCGAGTCCATCCTAATTCAATAGCTTCGACATCCGTTCTTAGGGCATAAAACAAGCTTCCCCTTTCCATGTACTCATACACCAGGAACATGCATTTGTTGTGCAAACAGAACCCATAAAGCTTCACTATGTTTCGGTGCCGTATATTAGTTAACATTTGCACCTCATTTCTAAAACTCTTGTCGAAAGCTGGTTCCTCTGCTTCAAAACGATGGAGTTTCTTCAAGGCAACTATTTTTCCATTTGGCAACTGAGCTCTGTATACGCTACCATAACCGCCAGTTCCAATACAATATTTGATGTCAAAGTCGTTTGTTGCCTTGATGATGTCTTCATATGCAATTCTTCCATCGTAATTCCATATTGAGCAAATATCCCCATTTTTTATTGCTCTTGCCTCATTTTGGTGTTTTTGGGTCTCACGACGTTGAAAGCATGCAAATGCAAGTTAGGTAAGGAAAACTATGGCTGAAGTAATAATAGCTGCCGTGCATATGGCTATGAGTACAGCAGAACCAACGTCAGACAACATATTATTTTACTCATAATTGAATGAATGTATGGATTTTCTAAATATGCATCCTTAGATCGAAGCTCTAATGTCTTTCTAAAATATTGGTGTCACTCACAATCTTGACCCAAGCACAAGGAGAGTCAAGCCAGTATAGTCATTGTGATGACAAATAAAATATATGTATATATAGATATAAAGTGACCACAAATATATGAACCTTCCTTCTACTTTCCTGAATGTGAAATCGTGACTTGAGTGATTGAATTGATGACTCTCGGTTGATGGTCTTCTTTCTTCAGTCTCTTTTCTTTTATGTGTATTTTTTTTTTTCTTTTTTTAAAAATTTGTTTCAAGCCTTTGTTCTTGGAAACTCAAGAATTGTCTCAGAGATTACAAATGGGGCTAAATTGTTGTGACAAATTGAGTTTTACTCCCTGGGTAGCTGTTGTAGTCTTAATATGCATGTCTTGGGGATGGATGTTCTTATATATAATAAAGTGTCATAACATTATCATTGCTAACTTTAGAATCTACATCATAAATTCAATATTCGTAACTTCATCACAAAATGTCACCAACATACATTACAAAATAGTTTAGTACCTTTTTGGGAGTGCATGTTGTAGATTTCTTCTAATTTTTAAGGTCTTGAATTTGATGGTGATTTTTCAATGTTCAGTTTAATGTATTTCATTGATTTAATAGTAAATTCTCTCGATCTATTGCCAAAAAAATAAAATGAAATATGCCACTCAGTGCATCTGAGACTATTCAATCATATCCATATACCAACATTTCATCTGAAAACAGATTGCTAGTTTAAAAAATTCAAAGTCTTAGTTAAGTATAATTATTCAGTTCCCAATTCTAAGATAGGACAATTATTTGTTTAACTCGGGAATTGTCTCAGAAATTACAAATGAGGCTAATGCATAAAGGTTTGCAAAGTCATCAGGTTTTTTAAGTGTTCTCAAAAAGATCCCAAATCACTTGTTGAAAGATCTCTTTTTCACAAAAAGAACAAAAACAATCCCATTCTTTACAGATCTCCCTCCAATAAAAAGGAGAATGATGGAAGTCCTTTCTAGGGTTTTTTGGTTTATTCAATTCTGAATAGAAGAGGGAGAAAGAGGGAATCCTCATACCTGAGAGAGAAGAGGCAGAAATAACGGACACATTTATGCTTAAGATGGTTAGCCACGTAATTAGTGGAGGAGTTCAGCAATATATAACAAATCACAAAATTAAAATTAATTATTAACTTTGATATAACAATGTTTATATACATATACATAATGGTTATAACAATTGATACTAGCCATCCTCTAAATCATTGTTCATCATTTTTACTTTATTAGTTTATTGGATGAATCCATTTCTTGATTTCGTAACTCACATAGTGAAATTGAATGAAGAAGTGTAGCTAGAGGCCTCTTGCTGCTGTGAGGGACTAGCTTTTGAGAAACGTGTACCATTGTTGGTCGAGATCTTGGTTCAGAATGCAAGTATGCGAATGCCAGTGCAGCAACAAGGACAACATTCCCTGCAACTAGCAGATCAACTGGTAATACATCATTTAACATTATATTTTGAGCAGAGGTCGATGCCAGTAATGAGAGGAGTTCTTTTGGATGCCTTCCCATTATTGTTTCTAGCGCCACCATTCCAAAGCTATAAACATCGCACTTCTCAGTTGCAACCATTGTGTTCTACACAAAATAAACATTCACTAAACTGAATAAAAACTAGAATAAACCACACACTATCTGGGATTTTCACATATTGAACCTTGTATATATATAAAAATAAGATATACTTTGGAAAATATAGTTTGGTTACCTTAGGCAACGTATCCAATAGTGCCTGCCATTATGGTTTCATTTGATGAATCAGGATGTACCATTCTAGCTGTGCCAAAGTCAGAGACAAAAGCAGTGAACTCTGAGTTCAATAGAATGTTGGCCTCAAGCATAGGTGATGTTTCTTCCTGCCAAAGCCAAAATGGCTTAACAAAACGTATCCAATAGTGCCTGCCAATGTGGTTTCATTTGATGAATCAGGATGTACCATTCTAGCAGAATGCAGTGAACTCTGTGTTCAATAGAATGTTGGTACTTGTTATGTCTCGGTGAACAATTGGTGGATTGCAATCATGATGCATGTAGGACAAAGCATGGGCTGTTTCTTTGACAATGTTTATTCTCCGAGTCCATTCTAATTTAACAGCTTCAGCATCAATGCTTAGGGCATAAAATAAGCTTCCCCTTTCCAAATACTCATATAGGAGAGATCAAGGTAGGTGAGGCTTGACAGAGTACCGATTTCATCAGGGATGACTCCAGTGAGGCTAAAATACCTGAAAACAAGACGTTGGAGATTTGGCAAGGAAGACCAATTCAAATTGTCAAGCTTTTTCCCCAAGAATTGATCATGATAAAGGTCAATCCGAAAGACACTTCCTGCTTCATTGCAAGTGATGGTTGTGAACTCACAGTGGTATCTTGAAGAAATATTTCCCCAACAACAGTAGTCGAGTAGAGCTTTCGCCTCCATTGATGATGAAAATGATGGTGACACTGATGATGATTTAGGCAATGCTGGTGCTGTAATTATAGTCATCACCATGCATAAGCCACGAGTACCTAAGAGTAAACAGAGGACAAAATGTTTTTTTTCACCCATAATTGAAGCAAATATATATAGGTTCTTTGTAACAGCTCTAAAATAATGGGCATGCATGATCAAAGCTAAATAGGTTGTTAATAAGAATATTTTGGTATTGGTAATGGTGCCTACGACGACCAGCCAGGCACAGGGAGTCATTGACTTGAATGAATTGACTTACATTGACCCCGACTTTGACTTGTCATAAGAAGAGAAAAAGTGCGTAACACATGTTATGGATGATTCTCTAGACCAGTCTCCATTCTTTTGTGCCTTTCACTATGGCTTCCATCAAGGGGCACTGGTCAATGCCTATTCGGCAATTAGTATGGTTTACAATGGACCACACTCATTCAAGGTCCAACAAGTTGGATGAAAACAAAACATTTTCATAATTAAGAGACTTTCTCAAAAGAGAAAATTGTAAGATGCCACAAGAATGATGTGATAATATCATTTTTGTAAGTAAAAGTCATCTTCATTCATAGGTGTTTTGTTTTAAAGCATTCGCCCAGATCAAAAAAATAAAAAATAAAATTAGTTTGTACTTCATTACTCAAGGAAGGTTCACAATATTGCAAGGAAATAGCATGATTCTTTCATATGCATCATCCCCAAGGAAGGTTCGCAATATTTGAGTACCATTTATAGGGATACAGGAATATATATATATATATATATATATATATATGTTTTATTTTATTGCCTTTAAATTTTAAAGTGATTGATCAATAAATCTCATATTTTGATTTTATAATTTATATAATCCTATATTTTTTTTTATTTTGTTATTTTGGATGTGTAATGACTCATTTGTCTGCCATACTAGATTGTCACATTTAGAAAAAGTACACTAAAAAGTTTTTTAGTGTCAAATCATACTCGTCAAATTAGAGTGTTATATTTGAAAAAAGTACACTAAAAGAGTTTTTAATTTTTTTAGAGTGTCACATTATATCTATCACATTAAAGTATCATGTTAGAGTATCACATGTCACGTTTGGTAAAAGTACATTAAGAAGTTTTTAAATTTTTTTAGAGTGTCATATCATACCCGACACGTTGTCATGTTTGAGAAAAGTATACTACGGAGTTTTTATTTTTTTTAAAATGTCACATCATACCCACTACGCCACGTTGTCACATTAGGAAAAAATACACTAAAAAGTTTTTTTTTAAAGTGTCACATCATGCTCGCCACATTATCATATTAGGAAAAAGTACACTAAAGAGTTTTTTTTTTTTTTGAGTAAAAGTTTTGGAATGTCACATCATACCTGTCACGTTGTCATAT